TTTTCCCGATTCTACAGATTTATGATATACATGGTTTACGGCTTTTAAATAGTATATATAATTATCTTCAATACAAATATCCCACAGTCACGAAACAATTTTTTTTTTAAATTTATTTAGTTTTCTTGACGATCCCTGCCGAGTGTTTGGATTTTATTTGAAAAATACCACGCACGCATAATACGCAATTGGAAATAATGAAGAACGTAAATATGAATAAGCAAAACACGTTAAACGAGGTACCTGTCTTGCACGACTGAACCACAAATAAAAAGGTAAAAACACGTTGAACGTTAAATAAAAAACGTTGCACGAAAATACCTCTTTACCACCATCTATTACGTCTGTGTATGACGTCTTTATCGTAAATCCAATATACTTGTTAACTCATTACTAATTAAAATTTTAGTCTTGGGAGATTTTTATTTGTTACAAACATATTTCGGTTTGGCCTTGCTTTCAGTACCTATATGTGAGTACTTTCAGGTCGGTACTTTGTGTCTTCTAGTCTTCTAGTTGGTTAACTGTCTTTTAATTGTGCGCTTTGTGTCGATCTGATGAGGTCAGGCCCCCAAATATGTTTAACCTCTACGCATCCTGTATGTGATTTTTTTTTCATTTCATGTCGTGGCCATTTTTAGCTATAGCTATGCGGTTTGCATTTTGTTCATTGACAAAGGCCGTTTGGTGACATATTCAAATTAAGTTGATAACTTCTTCATCATTTGGTCTCTCATTTGCGATCATACCACATCTTCTTATTTCTATACAGCTTTTCACTAGGCAAAACCTTTGATGGCTTAAATTATACCAGTTCCTTAATTTGAAATAATGAATACTCATTACCCTCACACAGTTGTACATTTATTTTTGTGTCAATGAAATGAGACAGCCAAAAGTCCGCGTGATATTGCAATCTGCGGTGCAGAGTTCATATCCGTTCCATACATGCTCCGCAATACTGCACTTAATATGACATATTGAGTGTAGTGTAACGAAGTATTGAACGGAACAGATATGATCTCTGCGCCGGGGATTAGTGATAAGCGTGGAATTTATCAATGAGCAATGAAATTTCTTGAAAACTAGGGTCATCGGACCTGGTGTGAATCGATATAAAAATATTATTTTGTATGATAGAAGGAAAAAACGTATGATATACGTCCTTAAATTGTTACCACTTTTATTCCGACTTGCCGTATTTCATTAGCATTTTTACTTTTATTTTCACGACAATTTTGTTAAGCAAAAATCGTTTTACAATGTCCGGTTTTTTAGTGAAAGCAAGTTTTCGTGATCGGAAAGTTTAGAGTATCACTTCTCGACCTTTTGGTAATATAAACGTGAAGTGTCTGTTCGATATTAAACTGAATTATGCAACTATGTGAGATGTAAGGTGCTAGCACCGCTCTTGTCGCGAGTTGGTCTGATACTTCAGTACCTCCAGTATCGGATCTCTCCCCCGTTTTGGGGAAAACAATCCAATAGAAATAAGATTTCCGTATTTTTACCTAGAAATTTTTACAGCCTGAATAAAAATATCTATGATGCGTTTTGCTTCTACATGTGTACTTTTTCTGTACTGTTTTTTTTGTTTATGCTGTAAATTTGCGTAAAATGTGTAGTTTATCCTTTCTTGTAAATTATTTCTATCACACGTGCATGTGAAATAAGTAACATTTTCATGTCTATTCGCTTAAAAATATTTGTTTCTTTAGTGTTATACTTTTGTTGTCGCGTGTGCATCAGACAGTACATGCGAGTCAAGTAATGTTCTCGCTAATAAAAATAATCTAAATTTTTAGCGTTATGAAAAAGCGTCGGAAAAGAATTCCGTCCCCTATTTTATTGTCAATCACGGCAAATGGCTGGTAAGTTTTTCTTCTTTTCAAAATAGCGTTACGCAAAAGTGTTGGAAAAGAGTCTAAAAAGAATCACTTCCCGCCTATTTTCAATTGATCATATCTCAAAAACAGTGGCACGGACCTTTTATTTTTTCTGCTTTTTAATTTTCGTTATTTACATACTATCACGTTCCAAAATTATTTTGAAAAAGAAAAGCAAACATTTTAAGAGCCATCAAAAACGATTCGTCGATAACGAGAGACCATACATGCTGCGCAAAAGTACAACAAACGAAACAAACAGACAAGCTCACAATACACTAAACACAAAACTATTGATTGCTGAAGACGGTGGGAAAGCCAGTGACATTGAAGAGTTCTTTCCGGTGGTCACGCGGGAAAGGGGACATAATCTAAAAATTTCGAGGTGGCGCTGTAATCAGCGTGTAAACAAAAACGTAGCATATGATTCAGACAATAAATTTATCAAAACGACTTATCATCCAACAGTATTTGCGGTTTAATCTTCATCAGAATAGATTTTGTCACACGACTGCCAAAAATATATTAAAATAAGTGCTTCGTTATTGAAATATGATAAATCAAAAGACTACCTCCGTTGGTTTCCAAAAAACCGCGGGTAGTACCCCCGTCTGAAAATAACTGACACAATTGCATCCTAAAGCTTTTCATTGGTTGAGATATAAATAAATGTGACCCAGAAACACATGGGCACATGACTATGTAAAGAATTCCCCGTCACTTCGAGTCTTGTTTACATAATAAATACCTCAACCGGAGGTCAAAATTCAACATTTTTCCAACGTTTTTGGCGTTATTTCATTGCAAAATGGAGCAAATGATGTCAATTTTACCAGTTTTTAACCACGAAATTGATTCAGACAATGAAGTGTGATGATGTTTCCTGGATTTTTAATGTTTTACATAAAAATGTTGATAGGTTGAAGGCTTTACTCCGTCATTTGTTGATTTTTTTCATGTTGCTCAGACTCCTTGTTTCAATAATTTTCTGCATTTATTTAATTATTTGTTTAATTATGCTGCAGTGTATAACAGATTTATGTAGTACATTGAAACTGGTTTATTCTATGAATGAATTTGTCCATATAAATGACTTCAGTTGTCTGGAAGCCCCCCCCCCCCCTTTTCCTACTTTCAAGAAATTTCAGTTGGGCAAAAAAATTGTCTGAATGAAAAGCTTGCACAAATGCAAAGTGTAAACACTCAGCTTATGTCTGTTTTAAGCCATTTTTTTTAAAGTCTAATGATTACAGTCATTCTTTGTTTCTGTAAATGTGTCAACTTGTCAATTTTAAAAATATTAAAAGTATCAATCAACAAATATTGCCTGCCTGCCACTGTGACATGAAAATCTGATGAGTCAATAATTTTCACTTGATTATTAGTCTTTGTTCTTATTGTATAAATAAAACTACTATGCAAGTGGGAAGTTAACACACAAACATTTGTTTTTTGCCTGTCCTTATCAAGGAACCTGTTGTACACTAACCATTCATGTTTTTAAAAGTGTGTCTGGGCCCTCTGGTAACAAATATTTGTCATTGTGTTTTCAAAGTGTGTGCATGTTCTTAAAGAATTGTTTTGAAAAAGTTTAGTGGCCATTCATCAAATTTGTTTTTCTTCCATATACATATAGTAGCTGTATTTATTTTATCATTAGTACTGGATTTAGAATTTTTATCACATGCTATTTTATAAGGTCCCATATACTTGATAAATTGGTTTGCAAATTGTTGAAGGCTAAAACTGTTACCTATAATTATCATCCTCTATCAATTGTCAATCATGTCAATATGGGTTTCTTTTAAAAACAACTTTTCCCAAGGAAAAACTAAAGTTGAAAAAATAGTTCAACCCAGATATGCTGCTGCTGAAGAAATTAACATTAACAATGGTATTTTTCAAATATAGCATTCATTAATTACACTATTCCTTCATTGAAAATGAAAAAAAAAAAATTTTAAATTGAATGCATCCAAGGGCTTTCCTGGATTAACCTTCATCAGGTATGCTCAATGCCTAGTACATACAAGTCTTAATACAAGTGAGAGCTATATGACCATTAAGAGCATTAAAAAAAGCTATATTGCTTCTGAGGTCTGCTTTGAAGATGGCATATGAATGTCTCACTCTGATTTTGGTGATCCTGTTTTGTTGCGTTGGTATTAATTTTTTGACCCACAACTTTTATTTCACACTCATCTTTTTCGAGGTCTATCATGATGGAAATTTTAGGTACTGTAAATTCAGAAAGGATAGCAAAGTTTTTATTACTGCAATAATGTAAGTGGGTGAGTATCTAAATAATAAATTGCATTCTGATACCTTTTAATCCGATTAAAATGCAAATCCTGTGTCCAAGCTTATTACAAGAAAACAAAGCTTGGACACAGGATCTATACTTAAATCAGATACATTTATACCATTCCTATATCTGTGTGCTGATTTTTCTGCTAAAGCAATACTTTTTACACATTTTATTCCATTCTTCAAATTTGCAATAATAAAAGCACACAATAATTTGCAAAATCATGTGATTACATATAGGAAAAGGGCACCTAGGCATCTCATTCTAAATACTACACATGGAGCAGGATCTGCTTACTCTTCCAGAGCACCTGAGATCATCTGTATTTTGTGGGTTCAAGTTGCTCAGTTTTCATTTTTCTAATTTGTATATTAGTTTAAACTTTTCATCAAATAGTCTGAAAACAGAGATATGTATCTGCTGAAAATGATTTATTTAGATGCAGGGGTCACCACACTTCAAAATCTCCCTGGAAGCATATAACAGTGAAAAGTCATGTCATGAGAGGCCACTATAGAGAGACATCAAGGATACCTCTGGGAGAAGTGAACGATTCTAAAAACCACTCCGTTTAAGTCCTTCACACCTAATAAATCATTAAAGTAGACCTTTTTCATCTTTGATATTTTTTTATGTCTCAAATACTACAGTACATACATGTATATGGCTAATGTGCTTGCTTTGCATCTATGAATGTTTTATTGTATTGCAGCAGCAGCATTGTCTCTCTCATGTACATCTACCCCATGTCATCAATATAAAATGATTATGGTGTTTCACTTTGTATATATAAAAATATAAAAATGTTAAGAAAAAAAAAGTTTTTTAAAAGATAAATAAATACAAATGCATAAAAATAATGTTAAAATGAAACATATGTAAATAATATCTTAAATAATTATAAGTAAATAAGCTTCAATCAAATAAACAAAATTTAATACAACTTAAATACTTTGATTTTTTGAAAGTAAAAAAAAAACAAACACATAACAATAAACTTTAAAATTTAAGAAGCATTATTATTGTTAAAAAGTCCAAGTTAAAGTAAAAACAAGTCAAATAGTCCTCTGTTCCATAAATCCTCAAAATGGAAATGTTTCCTGCTCTTCTTTATTCCTTATTTCTATTGTTACATGTATCTGTAAATATATAATTTATGCATATGATATTAAATGAAAATAATTTCCCAACTTCTCTAGAGTTGTCATATGAAATTATGATTTACATTTAAATTGTCTACTGATTCTTATGTGGTCCAAGTTTTAATTTAAATTGAATGTTTCTAATTTCACTAATGTAAAACTAATCAGATGTGAAATAATTGCCAATGAGACAACTATCCCCAAAAAATCAAATGGAGTGGATATAAGCAATTTTATGCTACACTAAAGCCTTCAATCATGAGAAAATCCCATAATGTATATACTTAAGTTTGTTTTTAGATACTTGTTATTATTTTTTTTAAATTGAATTTATTCTTATTTTAATCTTAAATAATCAAAAGTATGTATATAAACTTCAATAAAAATAAACAAAAAAATTTAACTTTTGGTGTAAATGAATAATTTATTTTAATGACTTTATATGATATGTCTGATAAGAAAAGGTCATAAACATATACAGCAACATATGTTCAAAGAAATTTTTCTATTTATTTATTCATTTCCTTCAGTATCTTAACATGTTAAAGTTAAATTTATCATTATAATGACATATCAATCTTTTTAATAGATATTAATATATATTTTATGATATTAAATGTAAGTAAACGTCATAATTACAAACAAAATATCAGTATGAGAGCAAAAATATAAAGTAAATGCACAAGTAAGTCTGCATTCAGGTTGAGAATTCAAACTCTCCTTGTGCAAGTTATCTGAACTAGGATTGCTGTAATCAAAGGTCTGTGGTTATCTATGACGGACGGACAGACAGACAGACGGATGGACAATGGTATACCATAATACCTCTCATAAATGGGCGTATAAAAAGGAGGGTTCTTTTTCCAAATTGTCTTTGCCTAATGAATATTCTATTAAGAATTTCTTTTAAATATTTAGGAAATTTCCTTTTATCATTAAATGACATTTTATCAAAATAAATGTGAAAATTACTAAGAATATTCATTTCTAATGAAAATTAATCTTCAAAATGACAACAGATTATGGGTCTATTCTAAATTTAAAAAAATGGAAAATTAATAAAAAAAAAATCATAACTTCATATTACATTCCTTTAACTGTATCTGAACATGATTAATGAAAAAAAAAAACACTGACTAGATTGTCATAATCTTATGAAGAATATTTATATTTATATTTCAAGTAAAGACAGAAAATGTCGATATGTTGACTTTCTTATCAGATAACCTATGTGTAACATCTGTGGTCAGTTTATTGGGAAGAGTGATATATAAATTACAAGGACTTCAAACTGTGAAGCTTATCAGTTGTGAAATTTGAGATTCCCTCAAATCTGAGGGCATTCTTCGGGCTGTACTATAAAGTATATGAGCAATCATGCATCCACCACCAATAAAACCTGGTCACAACACCTTGCCAATACTGTGGCGTTAAAAATCAACAATCAATCACATATAATTTGTGTGTTTTTTTTTTATTATGGAAGGAGGGGCAGAACTGATACTTTCCTCCTGATTAATATTTCATATACCTGAAATCTGTTCAAAATATTTTTCATGACCATATATGCATTATTTAACAAAAAAATGGTACTGTTGTTCACATAAACAAGGGTCTGGATGGGGTGTCCTCCATTTCTATATTATTAAATCTTTTAGTGTCATTTGTCTCTATTCTTTATACTTTTTGCCCATCATTCTCTTTTCTCAATAAATTAGCACAACATTATTCTCTATTCCTTATATTTTTTAGTCAATTTTTCTCTATTCTTTATACTTTTAGCCATAGTACTCTATTCTGCTGTTATTTTTTTTTGTCACACACTCATTGAACTAACCTTTTTACTATTTGAGAGAATCAAACAAATGATCACAAATGCTTTACACAACCATAATTAAACTAAAATATAAATGCTATCATTGACAGGCCAAAATTAAAGTTTTATTTAAAATTGAAGTCTCACGCTGGGAAAGGGGCGTTTATTAACATGTGGTCTGTGGAAATTTCAGCATCGAAAAAGGGGCAAATATATAGCCATAATTTGGCATAAACCGATCCGATCAATAAAATTTTGTTATGGATATTGTTCATATCTTTCTACTAACCATTAAAAGAATATTACTAGAATTTTGTGAGCAGAGAAACCTACTATTCATGTGGATCTGTTGAAAAATGGCGTCGATTTATGTGCTTCCCTTTCGCAGCCTCAGTTGCAATTTGACACGGAGTGATGGGTAGTTATGCAAATATTTAGGGACTCCCATCATCATAGATACTATTTTTGGTCATTTTATATTTAAATAGCCATTAGGATGCAAATGTGTCAGTTATTTTCAGAAGGGGAAAACACCCGCCATATTTTTATCTTCCAAAACAACAAGTCACTTGCCATTTTCAGATGTTTGTTTCTTGTAAAATAAAATCTCCTAAGAAGAAAAAATAGCATGGTCACCTGTTAAACTTACCTATATAACTAATTGATGATGAAATGATGCAAGTTTAATTGTCTTTAATAATAAAATTCTTGAAAAATCAAACGTACACGATGTAAACAAATTACCGAGATGGTGCGATACTGTCGTCGTCTATGTAAAAATCGCGATTGTCGCCCTTGAATTTTTGTCCGTTACGTCATATGGAAAGGGGGGGGGGGGGGGGGGGGGGGTCAAAGAATTTGTTCCCATCTTGATTCAAAAACCTTATTCATTTTTTAGAACAACCCAAAAACATTTTTTATTCAAATTTGAGTGTTGAATTTTATAATGTTTTATCAAAAATAAATATTTGTGATAACTCCTTCCTGAAAAGAAAAAAATGTTTAGATCTATATTATGCATGTCTGTTTGAGAACCATTTCATAAGACCGATGATTTCTATAGAAATCATTGATGGGACCCATTATAAATACATTTTTTTTATTATTCCTGGAGTAGATAATAATTTTCTTTTAATCTTTGGGAATTATTCAATTTGTTTTTATGTTAAAATAATTAACTTCATAATTTTGATGAAGAAAATCCATTTCAATTCAATTTTTTTTCATCAAAATGATGATTTTCATTTTCATCTATCAACAAACTTTTTAAATTGTAGTGGCATGGTCGGTCAACTGATAAGTTGTATGGCTGATTACAGGTAAAGCAATAACTTCTATTTGACAGTTGCGTGTACTCTGGGGTGTGGAATACCTTAATTTTATGGGGAACATCCTGTCCATGTGTAATACTTAATATATTCCAACAGATGACATTCCACAAATTTTTCTTCTGTTAAATGAATGATTTGTATATCATCATAATTTGCTATTTATATAAACCACATTTTGGTATAATAATTATTTACCATATCAACATTGAATATTATGAATGTAGAATGAAATATGTCTACAGTATGATTGGTTTGAATAATTTAATCTATAAGATTTAGGAATCAAAATTTGTAATTTATTTAAAAACCCTCATTGAAATTGTTTTATATCAACACACCCACATTTGAATTATTTTATACTTTAGATTTCATAGCCATATTTGCATTTGTAAAAATATTTATATACCACAATTTTCAATTATTTTACATGCCCAACTTTTATTTTTGTTGTAAAGAAGTGTAACTTGAAACAACAGTATATTATATAAAGAGAAATAAAGATTAAAGTTATATCATGAATATTGGTCATGATTTGTAAAACTCAGAACTGTCAAGTAAATTTAAGACACGATTCAAAATGTTCAGAATATGTCAAGCCATACTGAAAAAAATAAGAATGTCGAGAATATGTCGAGAAATTTCAAGATAGTATTCAAATGTCAAGAATTTGTCAAGAAATTTTAAGACCATATTCAGAATGTCGAGAATATGTCGAGTAAATTTCATACAAATTTAATATAAATGAGAATTTGTCAAGAAAAATTAAGACACAAGTCATACTTTTGGAGAATGTCGAGTAAAAGTTCATGCAAATTAAGACAAAAACTGGTCTTTTCAGACTTTTAGACTTTTGTAGTGTTGGTAAGTTGTATAAAGTGTTTGTTGTCAATTAGATAATCTAATCATGATAATGACAAATGCCCAATACCTGAAATATTTATGACCTTACAACTCTATTATATTGTTAATCAGTTTGTTTTTTAACGACACGTGGCCAATGCATAATTAACCTTTAAACAAACTCTGTTAAAACGGGGTTTTGATCCCTGGAGGACGCCACACTTTGCAATGAATTAAATCTATATTTGTTAACGTTTTCAAATTAAATAAACTGAATGGATTTCTTAAAATTCTCAAATGGCTTTAATATTATTACAAACAAAACGAAACGTTTATTTAACATTTTTTGCAACTTTTATCTTTATTTTTGTTCTAAGAAAACCTTTCTTGCTTGGTTAACTAGTGTGTGTTGATTACCTTCACTAATTACTAAAGATCAGACGACCTAATTAAGGATTTGTATAGACCTAATCAACATGATAATTGGTATCGAATATGATCATCGGTCATGTATGACATATTCCAAATAACGGCGCGTGTTAATAAACACTTCAATAACTTCTGAAATATTCAATTAATTTTATTCAAACAAAAATATTAAGATAAAAAAATAAATCATTTATCGGACGCATACCCTCAACGCCCACTAAAATATCTATTACATGTCCTGAGTGCACTCAGGAGGCCCTGAGCGGTTTTAAAACGTACCTTAAAATAATTTTTGTTGACTGTTAAATGAAATACATTTCAATTCATGGAGTGTCAGTGAGTTATAATATATTTTACAAATGAGGGCCCAACTTTGGTAGTCCAACTTGAACACATTGAGCGATCGTATATATGCAATCAGAAACTGACAAATGTAAAAGTTATGTTTGGCCAATTAATTCGGATCATGAGGTCGAAAGTATATGAACCCTGACGGACAGTCAGACACAGACATCTTACTATCATTCAATATATCAAATACAATTGACGTCATATATGAAACATGCAGACAGACATGTACACCATACACCAAATACCGTGGCCCTATAGCATACAGGTATGTAAGCTTTATAAATATAATGGGCATAAAAATGAGAATTCAAAGTTATGAATACAAAATAAAACATCTTAATGTATAAAAAAAAACAATACTTATGAAGGACGGACAAATGAACTGGTATTGATACAATTTACCAAGTCTGTGTGGTATTATAAGATATTAGATCCAATGGAATTGCACGATTGTAGTCCTATTCACCAGCAAAAGAGACCCGGGTCAGTCATGCCAATCTAGTTTTTTTAATACAATAACAAATATTAATTATCATATAATTGAAGAATAATATCAACGTCTTCGTAGCATTAGATCTTTCACGATCCTTTTCACGATCTTCAAAAACCGGTACGTGATCTTTCACGATCCGAAATATCAATTTTGTGTAAATTTTTCTTTTTTTACCAAGTTTCAGATTATACAAAATAACTATGAGAACCATTTGATGCATTCAAATAGAATGCCCTTTTTCGAAGAAAAATAGTTTAATTTATTGGAATTTGTGAAAAAATCATGTTTGTTTACATTTTTGATGTCACTGAAATATCGAGGAGCAATATGCCTTTTGTTGTTTTGTAAAAACTATGTACTTTTAGAACTGGATTTTCTCACATACTGATCATAATGTTCAACCATTTTGACAGACAGTTTTATTTTGTTGTAAATTTGTCCGTGTAATTAATTAAATTAGATTATTTAATGACATTTCATATGTCTTCTCGATTAAATTTCTTTCACGATCCGGTACCAGAGCTTTCACGCTCGTCTCGCAATACTTGACCTCCGTTAGATATTTTTTCACGATCATTTCTCTCGATAAACCGAATGACACCCGTGTTAGCGAGTACACACACATTTTGTATTCAGACAATGTACATTTATTGTTTATATCCTACAATTAATAACTGGCGCTTTAAGGTTCGTGGCATATAAACTCTTATGTATTTAATTATTTTGAAAACAAAATGAAAATTATGTCTAGTGAATAACCATGATGAAATAATTGTTTTTTCCATAATTGAATCGTGCATTATGTGTATTGGATTACTTAATTGCCTTCTTTCTAGTGCGATCTATTTTATTTACTGACAAATGACGAAATAATGCAATAGTTAAAATCAAATATTTTACAAAACTTTGTCACGATTAAAAAATTAAAACCGACTGAATGAATTAAAATATGAGAATTCAATGACTATCGATGTCGAAATTAGCCGTCGGTAATAAACAGTCAGTTTGTGTAAAAGAAATAGCTACCAAATTTGTTTTGTATGTATGTACAAAGTATATGTATATTGTATATAATCAGCCCTTCTGTATATTACTTGTTTTTATAATTGATTCAACAAATTTCGCTTGTCCAGGTGTCAGTAACGATGATGTTCACACCACGAGTAGTGATAAATGACACAATAACACAGCGATCGATCAATAATATAAGTAAAAATTGCGTGCCGTATGCTGAATGTCACCCCTCCTCTGAAAAAGGACGCTAATTTTTATATAAAATCTCGCAAAATTATGACCCATATTTTGGCATATCCTCGTTCACCCAATAATAGGAAGTGAATTCGTCACCATCATGGTTTCAAAGAGAAAGTAAAACGTTAAACGCCTGATTGTCGTCCAATTAAAACACTCGTTACATTGTTCTTTTGTATATTTAGAATCCGAGATAAACCTAGATTTTCTCGAGAAATGAGATAATTCATTATCTGAAATTGAGAAAATTAATTATCTGGAGATAAATTAGGATTATCTGAAAATCGATCAGAAAAACCTAGATTTTCTTAATATTTTGAGATAAACCGGGATTTTCTCCAGATAATGAATTTTCTGTATTTTCTGAGATAAACTAGGATTTTCTCGAATTTGAATTAAGCTGAGATAATCTTAGTTTATCTGAGATAAACCAGGATTATCTGAGATAATCCTAGTTTATCTGAGATAATCTAAATTAATTAATAAAAGTGGTTCAGGCATGCCATATATATAATTTGTAATGCATTTTTGTTATTCAGTGTTCACTTATTTTGTGCTATATCTCGTCTCACTATTTTTAATATATACCACCTTTGATTATATTTAGTATGACGATAAATTTTCACTTCTGTTCTCGTACTATGAACAACAAAAGCAAAAAGCATTTAATAATAAAAAACCATGCATCAGAGACTTATATCAACTAAAACACATGCCTGGGATTTATGAATATACAACAACGAAAACGAACAGAAATGACTTTTCTTTAAAAAAAAATTGCGAAGGGATGATTTCAACATCACCGCTTGGAACTCTTTGTGAAAATGCCTTCCTTGAAAGCAGCATCCCTGTATCCTTTATCTCAAATTTGATGGGATAGA